TCATCATTTTCACATATTTTTAAGTTCACACACACACACGATATTGATATTTAATCCCTTTTTATTTTTTTTTTTTTTTAATATTTGTCGAATGATTTTTCAAAATTACCAATATCTTTCAGAGTTTTAGTTTCAGTTTTTTTCAACCCTCCAAATAGAATAGTTGTAGAAATTTTCGAAAGGAAAAAAGTTTCGATTAAAAAAATTGAATGCTTTTTTTGTGATTATACGAGGAAAATTCTGGTTAAAATCAAAAATTCATTTCAATCTAATTAAATAAATATTAAAAAGTATTTTTTTTAAATTATGTTGATTGGTTTTACTTATACTTTTCTGGATTTTCAAATTCATTCAATTCATTGGTTGGTGCGTGTGTTTGATTGAGATTGAAAATCCCATTTTTTCCCGTAAACATAGCTAATCTGTTAAGAAAAGAATGAATGCTGAAATTTTCCTTTATGAATAATCTCTCATTTTTGTTGGGGAAAAAACATGTTAGCTTTTTTTCCTGTTGTTAAACCAAAATAAAAATGAAGAAATGAATCTCTGTGTTTTGTAATTTTCATACGAAAGAAATAAAGAAAGATTTTCATGTTTTTTGGTTATTATTCATTCTTTTGGGGAAACTCTTGGTTACTTCTTGTAATGATTAGTGTGTGATAAATAGATTTGCATAAACCAAAAGCCAAAAAAAAATAGATCAAAGAAAATGTATCTGGTTCTTTTCTTCTGTTGCTTCATCAAATCTTTTGAATGTTTTAATCATAAAATTTTGTTTTTTGCTTTATTTTTCATTATTCTAATGAAAATAATCAAACAAATTCTTTGAAAATTGTCCGTGAAAAAACAGAAAATTCTTTGCTCGGAATTTCATTGCTATTCCATGCAAACCATTTGTTTTGATTGATTTGAAAACGTAAATCAAATCTTGGTTAAGTGTAAAAATACAGATTAGGCTTTAAACACACACACACATAATAGCTATCAACATTAAACATGACCATTATGAAACAAACATAACCGGAAAAGAAGCAGCAAAATACAACAACAACAACAACAACAACAAAACGATTCTGTGATGGTGAATAAGCAACAAACAAAACAAAAATTATTAATTTCGGCATGTTTTTGGTAAATACAGAACACAGCCAAAAACGAAAATAAAAAAAACACCATAAATGAATTCAATTCCGGAAAAGTTTCCCGGTTATAAATATTTTTGTTTTTTGCCCCCATTAACCATTTCAAATAAATGATGTGCTGATGATGATTTTGTTGTTGTTGTTGTTGTCATTGATGATACCACGAGAATAAAGAATCAGAAACAACAACAACAACAAAAAAGATATTACCCGACAGATGTTGTTGTTGTTGGCAACAAACAAAAAAAAACGGTAATTTGGCCAATTTCTAACCATGATCATCATTAAATACATTAAAAAATGATTTCTTTTGTTTTTTGTTTTCATTAATAAAAGCAAAAACCAAAAATCTTAATGAATAATTAGTAGCAGTAAATTCATAAAAGAATGGATGTCTTTGAATTGTGATTGAATATTCTCATTCAATAACAATTTTTTATGTTTAAAAAACTTATTTATGATTCTGTTTTGCTTTTTTTTCAATGATTAATTAATCTTGGGTTAATTAATCAAAGAATAATAATAAATTTGTTGTTGCTGTTGTTAATCCTGTCAGGAAATGTTTACGTAAAATCTTTAACATTTTGCTTTGTTTTTTTCTGTTTTTGTGAAAATTTCCTTTCCTAAATAAAATATAGCATTTCCAGCAATTGAAACAATAATCGGTTCAAAAGTGATTATACCATGTAATATGGCACATTATCGTCAACATTATCAACAACAACAACCATCACCAATCAATTTACCATTATCACCATCATCAACAATGGTGAATATATCATCCGATCAGAAACTTGAAAATTCGCAACCATTATCATTACCATTAAAATCATCATCATCAAATATAATGATGGCCGATTCACCAAAATTATTATTATTCTATCATGGTGATGATATATCCGGTTCACCAATCTATACTGTTGATATGCGTCAACCATTGACAAAAATAATGAATGATAATAATCATAATTCATCATTTAAACATTTCATTTCACAAACATATCAGAATCGTGCAAAGGTAATATTTCCCAAACAGCAACAACAACAACAACATTCATCATCATCATCATCTGCTGAATTAATCATTAATAATAATAATAAGGAAGATGTTGATAATGATGAAATTAATGAAAAAATTCAATTCAATCAAAATGATTATGATCAGGCACAATTAATATTGGATAATGTACAGTCAAATGATAATGGATTATATTGGTGTCGAGTTGATTTTCGTTGGATGCGTACATTAATATCTACTGTTGAGCTTAAAGTTCATGGTAAGTTGTTTTTTCTTTGCATAACTTGAATTGAAAAACATTTGATTTTTTTTGGGGGGAATTTAGTGCCGACAAAAATGATTGAAATTGATGCCATTCAATCATGGATGCCTTCAATAACAAAATCAACGATAATGATTACAAAAAATCAAGTGCCTTCAAGTGAAAAACATTGTGATACATTATCATCATTAAATATTTCAACAAAATTAATTAAAAATATTGATTCTAAATCAAAGTCGAATCATTCCGATCATCAACGACAACAACAACAACAAAATCTTCATCAGATTTATGCAAATCAAGGTGATCAAAATATTCGACTAGTTTGTCGTGCCTATGGTGGTAAGTTGTATTTCTCGTTTTTTATCCGGATCTCGTGAAGAAAAAAAAAGACAAATTTCAAAATCGATTGCATAGAAGAAAAAAAACAAAAAGAAGCGTGAAAAAAAATTCTAAAAATAAATCGATTTGAATCGATCGATCGATTCAACCAATCGATTTTTGGATATGTTTTATTATTATTGATCTTGAAAGGAAAATAATATCCCAAAATTTCTCATCTTTATTTTACAAATACAAATACACACAAACGAAAGATGAATTTGAAAATTATGTTGGCCATATAATAGATAGCGAGAAATAGAAAAGGAACAAAAAAAAAATTTCCTTTTATTTGTCGAAAATTATTCGACCGAAATGATTGCCATGATAATAATACTGATGATGATGTTGATGATGATGATGAAACATTCACAATTTGTAAACTTTAACGGTCAGGAAAAAAAATTGAGAAAATTTCTCTTATATTCTCTTTTTGTAAAGAAAATTGCTCAAATCGTTGATATTAATTGCCGAAGATAAAGTTGAAAGAATTTTGCACTTTCTCAAAATTTACCCGAAACGACATGTGTGTATGTGTATTTATTCAAAAAAGTTTATTAGAGACTGAATTAGTTGCTATTTGAACAAAAATCAATGGTTAAATGGTGATCATTTGAAATTGATCCATATTAAGCTACTTTTTCTCTCAAAACAAACAAACAAACACGAATAATCAAATGGCAATTTTCTCAGAAAAAAAAAGAATGTTCTGAAATTTCTGGGCAAATTTCTCAATTCTATTAGCAAAATAAATATGTGACTGGACCATAGGCTATAATGATGGCCAGCTAAAAAGAAAAAAAAATTGATGAAAATGGAAATCAAATTGATTCAACAGAAGAAAAAAATAAACTTTTCATTTTGTCAAATTGAATGATGATGATGAAGAATTTATTTCAATGAAATGGATAGATTTTTTTTCTCTATTCTATTTTATTGTGAAATCTATAAAGTTAAAATTGATTTTGAATATAAATCTCGAAAATTGCACACAAGATTTTTTTTTTGTTGATAAACACACTGTTGTTATCATCATCAAAATGTTTTTCATTATTTGTTTGTTGAAGTTTTTTTTTCACTATCCAATCGTATAATGTGTACACAGAGTGAATCCATCGCTGGACAATTGTGATGGATATATATGGTTCAATCTGTACAATGGATTCTGGGAGATTGAAAGTGTGTGGGCAAAAAAACCATTTATCTGGTAGAATTTGGATTCCAGAAAAAAAACCAGAATGATTCAAATATTTATTCTGATCAATTTGACAATTGTGTAATTCGAATAAAGTTTATCTCTAGAATTTTTCTTTCTCCATTCTATAGAAATCGAATTGAAAAAAAAAGTTTAGTTTATACATTTAAATATTGGCTAAACTTCATAGGAAAAAAATAAACATTATGAATAATGTTAATTTTTTCTTTGGGAAACTTTCTCAAAATTATTATTTTTTGTTTTTGCTGATTTTTACCAGGAATTTTTTTTTCGGGACATCAATTTCATTTGCAAGAATTATCGATATCCAATATAGTTAATTCAATCATCATGATAAAGATAAAGTGTATTTCGTAAGAAAATAAATTTCGATTTAGTTCACGTTCAAGTTCAGTGTATCTAAAATGCTTTTACGTGGATGTCAGCAGTTTTTTTCAATTTTAAAATTTTCTGAAAAAAAATTGTTTCATTTTGCAATATTCAACCTTTTTTTGGGGTACCTCGTTAAGATTTAAAAATCGATATTTCAAATGCCAACCAAAAAAAAAACAAACCTAATATGAAATGAAATGAAACTATGGTTCACATCATCAAAATTTTATCTAAACAAAGCCAAAAAAGATCAACAATAACAACAACAACAACAACAAAAATGAGATCAAAGTAAATAAAACACTCTTGAAACTTTGGAAGAAAATTCTCGTAATTGAATTTCTTATTTTTTTTATATATTCAACATTGTATATTCACCATAAACACATCGTCTCTGTCTAGATGTTTGTTTTGTTTTGTTTTGTTTGGTTTTTTTTTTGATTTTAATCAACCTAATAGACCTCAAGGTTTATCATCATCATCATTCGCATCGTTTGTTTAAATCAAAGAATTCGTGTTTATAATAATAACAAATGAATCTGGTTAATTTTTTCATTTACTTTTGTTATGGTTATAATAATAATTTTGTTTCCTATATACGATTCTTGATATGATGAAACTTTTATTATTCTTCTTTTTTTTTGTTGACTTTGTCGGTGATTGAAGATTTTCTGGATTTAAGAAAAACAATCTTGATTCTCTTAATATCTTAATTTGTTGTTTGATTCATTCATTCATTATGGAAATAAAGTTTCATCTGATAAAATGAAAAAGTTTGTTTTTCTTTTCCAATCATTTTTAGTTGTTGTTTTTTTTTGTTGTTGATTACATAATAAAGAGAGAAAGATTAATTTAATTTTAAATAGTAAAAAGTTTTTTCTATCCTTTCTCCCCGACGGTTTTTTGATGTTCGATATCGTCATTTCATAAGATATAACACATAGGAATCATTATTTTGTTTCATTAAAAAATTTCGTTATCAATTTCGTTTGAAAAATTGAAATGAAATAATGAACAAAGGGGAAAATTGGAAATTTGGCTCCTGTTTTTTTTTTCATTCGATCACATGAGATCTTCGAATGAACGAAAACGTGATCAAGAATGATATTTTTTTTCTTTCTCTTGCAAAACAAAAAAAAATACTTTATCAAATGATGTCAATGATAATGATGATGACAATCAACAACAACAACATGAAATAAACGAATTGAATTGAAAAAATAATAATAATAATAAATAAAAAGAACAAAAAAAAAAGTAAGACAACAAAAAACACTTGATTCGATCACGAAACAGAATAAAGAAAGTTCCCCTTTTTGTTGTTGTTGTTGTTCTTCATATTGTCATCATCAATAATGAAGATAATCTTTTTTTTTTTTTTTTGGTGATCTACTGATTCTGGTCCAATCGATAGGATAACATTTTTTTGTTTTGTTTTTTTTTGGCCATCATAGTAGAAAGAAATTGGTCATCATTAATATATGAAAGATAAACTATAGTGAAAATAATTTTGAATTTTTTTCTCTCTTTGAATGACTTTCTATGGCGAAAGATTTATCACTGAAAATGTCATCACTTATTTAGGGTTTCTATTTTGAAGAGAAAATAATCCATTTGATAATAAAGAATTTCGATTCAATAATTGCAATTGATGATACGTTTTTCTTTTTTTTGGGAAAACTTTCCGCGAAACTTTATTGATTAATTTTATTTTGTTTTTTCATTTCTTTTCCAAAAAAAAAGGAATTCCATCACCAAATATCCAATGGTTACGTTTTGATCCAAAATCAAAATTAAATTCAACAACAAAAAGAAAATTAATTTTAATTGATAAAATGTATTATAATGATTATCATCAACGTAATAGTAATGATGTTGATGATGATGATAATAATGAATATCAAACGTATCGTAATCAAAAACATAAAAATGTTGTTTTTGTTTCATCACCAGTAAATTCTAAAATGGATGACAAAATTGATGTTGAATGGGAAATTATCGATTCAACATTTAAACAAATTAATGTTTTCAATGATGATGTTGATGATGATAATGGACAACATAAAAATCTTGATAATCGTTTCTATTTTGATGATAATTATTACAATGATGATGATAATAGTGATAATAGTGATGATGATAATCAACGAAAACACCAACAATCGTCATTATCATCATTTAAACAAATTGATCAATGGTCTAATGATTTGATGAAATTGAAATTGAAATCACTGACCACCACAACCACTATCAATAATAATGATAATGTTCAAAATCAACAACCAAAAGAATCATTGGAAAAACAATTTAGACAAAAAAAATGTTGGAAAAAATTATATCATGATAAACTTTATCTATGGATACCAAACAGCAATGATAATGATTCTAATAATAATGAATCGAAACATAAAAAGTATTATGAAAAACATCCAAATTCTTTTATTACTGTTGATGATGATGATGGTCATCGTCAACAACAACAAAATGTTGTTGTTGTTGTTGTTCCAGATTCAAATATAAACAACAACAACAACAACAAATTAACTAATAGTGAAAAAATCTTCACTAAAATGACAACAACAACAAACAGTAACAATAATGATGATGATGACATTCTAATGGATGGTAAAAAAGTCAATTATCATCATCATGTCATCACATCAGTAGTAGGCAAAGAATTTCAGTATCAGCAACAACAACAACAGCAACATCAATCCATTTTGTCAATGAAAATGTTTTCATCAAACAACAATCATCATCATCAACAACAGCAGAAGCAGCAGCAGCAGAAATCTTCATCATCAGATAATAATGATGAACAAATGGAACGAACACGAATGATGATGATGATGATGAACAGTAAAAAAGTTTCAAATGATGTTGATGATAAAATTCAAAGAAATTCCAACAACAACAGCAACAACAATATAACTACAACATCTTCTTCTTCATCATCACCAACAATGATTGTGATTAATTCAATGTTACTATCATCATCACCATTGAAACGTAATGATAATGGTATCAAATATGGTTGCCTTATAAATTCATCAAAACTAATGTGGCCAACATTGTATTGGGTCGAATTGATTCTTAACTGTAAGTATAGAATTTATCTTCTTTTTTTTTTGTTTAGTCTAGTTTTTCCCATAAACTTTCTTGCTTTCATATAATACTTTCACTTATGATTTCATTTTTTGTTTTTGTTTCAAAATTATTTTTCGCATTTCGGACTTTCGAAATACCAAGAAATTTTTTTTCTCCTATCTTTCTTTCTTTCGCTCAATCATTTTTTTCCTCATCATCATCTTAATTTGGATCATTTTTGATGTTTGAATCGATTTTTTTTCCTGCTGCTTGTGTATTTATCTTTCTTTTTTTTCAATCTGTTACTCACTCACTCATTTTCTTTCGAAGAATATTTCGTTCCAAGAAAGGCGTCATCGGGTTTATCCGGTTTGTTTTTGGGATGGGGGATATATGATAAGCGCTTTTTTGCTTTTGCGCTATTGCACTTAATAAACAAAACAAAATAATACTTTTTCTTAAACCGGAAATTATTGCAATACTTTTTTTTACATTGTCTTGATGATGATGATGATATTTGTGTGTGTTAATCATGATAGATGATAATGAAAACAAAAACAAAACTCTATCAAGTTGATCAATAAATGATCTCTTTTTGTTTATCAATCGATTACCGGATATGAAAAATTTGAAAAAAAACGTTGGAAAAAAGTTTATGAAGAAGAGTTTCTTTGCCAGTGTATTTTGTTGTTGATGTCGAGCATCCATAATAATCAGGTGACATTATTTAATGATGATGATCTTTATTATTATTTTGTTCTCGTTTTTTTTTGTTTGGCTATCATTTTCCAAAAAAAAAAACGAAAATATTCTCCCAGTTTTTTTTTCAAGAATGTTGACTGTTATTTACTTTTTTTTAACGTTTGAATTCAGCTTCAATGTCAGTGTTATACGATAATACGATATCCATTGATTGATAGTCACGTAGTCAACGGTTAATATTATTTTCTTTTCTTTTTTTTGGGTTTTTTTGGAAAACGGTAAAAAATACTAACAAACCGATTTTTTTTTTGGAAAACAAAACGAATTCAAATAAATTGATATTGTTTTTTTTCTTCTGGTGGATAATATTTAATGATATTCTTTTCAAACTCCTGAAAATTATATAAATCGATTTCAATTCTGTCGTTTTAGAATTGGGATAATGTTTTTTGTTTTTGTTTTTTGTTTTACTTTCATTATTTTCTTTTTTCAAGGAAATTTTCCAAGAATTTTTCTACACAACAAAAGTTTTCATTATACACTATTTAGTTTATGTTTCTGAAAACTTTTTTTTTGTTTCCAAATTCTTTTCCTGGTCATTTTGAATTGATTACTAATTGTAATTGTTTTGAACAAGTAATATGATTCAGAGAAAAAAACATTTGTTTCCAACAACAACAACAAAAATTCAATTTTAAAAAAACTTTTAAGAATAACACAGATGCTATGATTTTGTTTTGTTTTGAAGAAAAAAGCAAAACATTTCATTAAAAATAATTGCGGTTTGAATTTTTTTGTTACTCCAGAACCAAAAAAAAATAAAACGATAATAATTATTACCTGTTTTACATTCTTTGTTGTTTTTGTAAGAAACAACAACAACAATAATAATAATAAATGAATGAAAATGAAATAATAAAATGTGACAAATGGACCAGAGGCAATTATTGTTGTTGGAACAATGTTTTGTTTTTGGTCTCGATGGGAAAAAATGCCTTGTTTTTTTGCCTATTTGGATTAGTTTTTTGTTTCAACAACAACCAAATATTTAGTTGACAATAATTTTTTTTATTCAACATTGAAAAAAATTACATATTTCTTCTGTACATTTGTTTGTTTGTTTGGATCATCCCCTCTACGAAAAAAAAATCCATTGTTTTTTCCTGTCCAAACAAACATAAATAACATTAACGGAATAAAATACTAATGGTGTGTGTGTGTATGGGATATGAAATACAGTTTCATTTCTTCCAGTCAATTAATCAAAACAAAAAAAAAAGAGGAAAATATAAATGAAAAACTGAAAAAAATTGTTTGTTTGTCAATTTTTTCCCGTTTTAATCTTTGTGTTCGTTGGTGGATGTTCTTTGTTTCTTGTTTTCAAAGAATTTCCAATTCTGTTTTTTTTCATTATCATCACCAATTTTATCGACGATAGTTTTTAATTTTTCAATGTTTTTTATGTGTGCGTATGTTTTTTCCTTCTAAGAAAGCTAAATCAACAGCCAGTGTAATTGAAGAAAAAGATTTATGCTGGTGATTGCGTAATTGGTAAATTTAGAATGTGAACCGGTCAATGTAAACTAAATCCACTATAGTGATATTCAATGGTTATTTTTATTTATTTTTGTTTGTTTGAATTTTACACATTTCATAGAATTGTTATTTTATTCAAGAATCGGTTATATCCAAACAATGTTTGAAACAATATTTTTATTTTCATGAAATGAATGAATATTCTCTTCGTCTGTGTTTGTTCAAGTGTGTGTGTGTGTGTGTGTGAATGAATTGAAATGAAATCCGTTTTTTTCCAGAATAAACCCTTTTTTCTTCTTTCTTTCTACTTCACAAAGCACTAAAAATCGACAAAAATCACAAAAAGATTCAATGAACTGTATGATTTGTTTGTTTGAATCACTTTTTTTGTTTTGTTTTCAATTTGTTATTATTTGATGATCTTCAACAACTTTCAAACAAAAACAAAAAGTCATTTCAATTTTGAATTGGTCAAACATTTTTTGTTTTCTTTGATGAATGATTATGGCAATGGGAAACAACTTTCGGATGGAAAGAAAATCTGTGAAATTCATCTATTAATTCTGCCACCTTAATTCAGTTTGTCTGATTTCAGTGTTTTTTTGTTATTTAAATTTGAAATCAAACGATGCAAATAATGCAATTCTTCCTTGCCAAACACACACACACTCACACCGATATAGAATAATTCTTTATTTTTCAACTTCTTGAAACATTTTTAGATTTTCTTTTTTTACTTATGGTTAGTTTATCATTTGCATTTTCTACATAACTTTTCTTTTCCTTTTTTTTCATACATTTGCTTTTTATATTTGTATTTCACGGTAGGAAAACAAAATATAATCAAATGACGATAGTAAACAAACAAAATTTCAATGTAAATTTACTATATTTACGTTTTCTATTTTAGTTTATTCCAATGGAAAATGAATGAATTGAAGAGAAAGAAAAATAAATAAGAAACTTTTTTATCCATTCGTTATTCTTTTTAAAAAATATAACCGACTGTAAAATGTTTTTGTTTTGTTTTCACTAAATTCTTGTTGTTGTTTCTGGCTATTTCTGGACACTTGAAATTTTTTTTCCAAAGAATATTTCTTTCACAATTGTGAACACACGTGAATAGAGTTCATAAAAAGAATATTGATGTTTTTCTATCTTTCTATGTTTTTTTTTGGTTATAAGAAACTTTCTGCATGCGAATAGAGAAAAGATAATCATTCTGTTCACTCAGAAGTATGTCTCGGGTCAAGTGATGATGCGAATCGATTTAGACAAAAGTTTCGTTCAAGTACGTTAGCCAAAATCGATATCGTTTTCAATGCTTTGTTTGAATCTTTTTCTATTCTGTTTTTCCCCCCACTAAATTACTTTTCACCACCATTATTTCATTATGTATCATTTTTCCTTCTTTTTGTTTCCTTGTTTATATCGATAGTAAATCCAACACATGTAAATATACAGCCACCTATTGGTTCATATTTATCGGATGAATTAAAAACAGAAGTTGTTTGTCGTTCATATGGTGCACGACCATATTCATTAATTACCTGGATTTTGGATGGTGTTAATGTTACAGAATTAAGGTAAGTTTTTTCATTTGCTCTCTTTTTTTTCTATTTTAATGAATGAATGTTAAACAGCATCTTTAGCAATGTTGTTGTCGATAATGATGATGATAATGATAATAATAGACTATCTTTTGACTTTAATTTGAACTTATCCAAAATAGATTCTATTTTTCTTCTTGTTTATGATAAAATAGTCATTTTATTATATCACAGAATTTTCTGTTTGTCTTGTTTGTTTGATTGTTGTTGATGTTGATCACTTTTCTTTGATGTTATTTTGGTTATCATTTTTTTTCTCTCTTCTCTGGCTATAATCATCATCATCATCATTTTTATCTATCTTCTTAATGATGATATTTCTTTCAGAAAAACAACGAAAACAAAAAAACAAAACAAAAAAGATGAAAATGTCCCAGGTGATTGCCTTCGGAATATAGTGAAAATGAAAAAAAAATGGAAAATATAAACAACGTCCTTTTTTTCGGATATATATTTTTAGCGAATTGATCCATTGGGATCCATTGCATAAAATGAGAAAAAAAATCCCACCCACGCTATCGAAACAAAAAAAATTTGAAACAAGAGAAAAAAATGACTATTCGTAGCTAATAATCAATGAGATTTTTATGATGTAACCAGAAAAATGCAAAAAACAAAACTTTCATCATATGAATATCGACTGTCATTTTTTGGGTGATTTGTGAAAATTATCATCATCATAATGGATTCTATTATTCAAAATGAAAATCTTTTAAATTATTCGTATACCAAAGACCATCATTTTTTCTGAGATTTTACTTTCATCCATTCATTCTTGATGATGATGATCATCATCATCAGTTTAATGGTAGCCGGTAAAGGATAATGGTTATAGATGTGTGGATAATAAGGGTTAGCCATTTATTCGTCTAGCCCACTAATAGTTTCAAATAAATAAGAAGAATTTGTAGTCGTTATTAACTGAAAAAAAGAAAAGAAATTCTTGATAAAGTTGTCGACAAAATTAAAAAAAAAATGTCAAATATTATGACTGAATATTAATAAGATGTGATGAACTTTGTGTGTGTGTGTGAGAGAGAGAGAGAGAAACACTGTTGTTATTTGTTAGATTTTTTTTGGAATTTATTTTTCTTCAATTTTTTTCGGGTCCAGAATCGAAACGAAACGATTCCGTTTTTGTTTTTACTACTGGAAAATAAATGACAAAAATGTTTTTTTGTTTTGCTTTGCTTTGCTATGTGTGTGTGTGTGTGTGGATGGATATTTTATTGATGTGAACAAAACAAAAACAAAACAAAACGAAAAAAGAAAAGAAAATATATTTCATTTTCAGAAAAGAACATTCAAAATCCATCAAACATTAATGTTTTCGTTTTTTCACACATCCGCACACTCAGTATGTGTCTTTATTTTTCTGGTTGTTTGTGGATATAACATGTTTTTTTTTCTTGAAACATCGATAGAGATTTCCATCTTTTCTATTCTATTTTTCTTTTCTTTTTTTTCACAGCGATACAATTCAGTCATCAGCATCATTATATAATTTATATGTTGTGTGTGTGTGTAACATAAATTCTGTTGTTGTTGTTTTTCTGGTCATTTTTTTGCATTCATTTTGTTTGTATGTGGTGATTGGTTGTGTATACATTTGTGGTGGTTTTGTTTATTCTGGATTCATGGAAAATTTCCTGGAAAACAGGAAACTTTTTGTTCTGTTTTTTTTTTTTTTTTTTTTTTTTTTTTTTTTTTTTGGGGCAAAAAAAAAAAAAAAAAAAAAAAAAAAAAAAAAAAAAAAAAAAAA